TTAAATACACGCGATTCAGGATTGAAGGAGGACTTAATGTGTTACACACGAGAGTTTCAGAGCGACGGTACGAGCGGAACAATTTTATGATATCTCGCCTACGATTAAATTTTTGTTATAAATAGTTTACAGAAAAGCACTCATCAGTTTGTTCCTCAAAAATTATTGAAAAATAGCTGTTTTGCCTCAATAATATTTCCAACATGTGGACGGAGACCTCATCGAATAAAAAAAACCTAGCCCTAGCAGAGTCACAGTTATCCTTGCTGAAACAGAGGTGTAGCGACCACATTTTCACTCAAATCCACTTTTTCTATTCGTAAAATAATTGTTGAGCAGCTGCGTTTTTTTTTTTTCATGTTTGTCTGTAGCACCATCACATCAAAATCATCCATGACATCCGTCAAGTGTCAAACTGATCAGACCGAAAAAATGCTGAGGAGCATCCCCTTGTCAAGTCTTTCCAGCAATCTATCAAGCTCAGGAAAGTCAACTGAGTTTAATTAATCGCAAAAGTAGTAATGTCAGTGCTGCTGACGCGAAAAGTTTGAAAAGAGGATTCCGTGACTCAAACACTCCGCTCAAACCACGCATCACATTCGTCAGGGGCCCGCAGTTAATCTCCAATCCTCTGTTTTTTCAGAAGCAATCCAACGACAGCCTCCAACAAGAGCAATGGGATGGCTGGAAGATTCCGGAATTTAGCACGCAACTAATTTGTCAGTTTATAAACTAAAGATCGCAATTAGTCTAATGCCTAATAATTTTCTGTAACATCAAATTTTGGAGAAAGTTCACGGCGCATGTAAATGACGGTGTATTAGTGCAATGACTGTGACACCATGCCCATTCTCAAGCACTTAATCAGATGCCAACGCAACTAGAGCTACTCTTTTTCCGATCCGTTTCACTAGTGTTGTCAACGCAGAAAGCTTATTTAGTAAAGCTCATAAAACCTCAGAATGCGGAAGTTGCTTATGAACGAAAAGTGTGGAGCTAAAAAAGCGCTGACATTCGGAACAAAACGAGTGTCCCCAGTTCCCAGAGAATGAACTTTGGACGGACAGCAATGTGGCCAAAAAGGTATATTCTTTTAAAAAAGGACGATAAATCTTTTTCTACGAAAACACTATTTTATATTCTTTTCATATTTTGTGTTTAACATTTTTGTTATACTTAACATTATAACACTTTACTGATGTTGCTGCTATTAAAATGATAGTCAAAAAATAAAAGAGTATTTTGGCTCGGGCTCTAAGCTTTGCGGAGGGAAACTTCAGCATTTAAAAGGATCTATGATTCATGCATTTGTCACTAATATAAAATACCGCTGATAAAAGTGGTGCACTGCTGTTATCATGCACTCATTGTCATCTCAAACTCCGTCATTATTATTATGCTTTTTTGCATATTTATGCAATGCAAAAACGCATACGGGCGTGAGTTGTCTGTGTCTGTGGGTGTTCATATTTTGTTACAAACTTTCAACTCAATAACCAGAGAAGCTTGAAAGATGAAACTTTTGAAACATGTGCCACCCCATGCGCAATTCCCTGGTTTTAAAATTATCGTTCATGTGTGTTTGGATGTCATGTTTGGATGTCGGGAAAAAAGTAAATTTTTTGGCAGGAAAACAATTTCAGGAACCAGATAAGATAGGGAGCTGAAATATACAAATACGAGAGAGCAGTGATCTAAAAACGTGTGAAAAAACGAACCTCAGTGGGATCGTAACCTGCACTAAAACGATTATCTGGTAAAATCCACTGTACAGATTCCATTGCAGCGCAGTCTAGTTCTAGCGTATGACCAACTTCTTTTTCCATATAGCGCTGCCCTTTGTACTGCGGCAAGTCAATGTGCCCGCTTATATCGGGCGCATAATTGCATCCGACAACAGTAACCAGATATAGAATAGTAAACAGGCGTAAAGAACCGACAGAGTGTTCAGAACCACAGTTTGAATAAGGAAACGGAAAGTGCCGAAGCAGCTGCAGGTTTGTCGTGTTGCGGCAGTCGTCCGGTGAGCGGAACAATCCTTCAGAATTCATTGTCCGACTAGTAAATACCAGGCAGCAGCTTGGCGTAGCAACAGCAGTTGAAGTCACGCAAATTGATGGCTGAATAGAAGCGTTCGGTTCCGGAAACCGCCGGTTACAGCTACTGGGAAGGCGGTAACAGTGTGGCTGACTCATCCTTCCGTTAACCTTTCTTTTCACTTTATCAGTCATTTCACGCCGCGTGAAGACGCTCGCACGATGAACAGTCCAGAATAGCTGCTTTGCGCTTGCACAGTGCTAGGAGGCCCGGAGAATCGCCGAATGAAGTACCATGCGCCACCTGAAACGCACTCATCGCTTAATGACAGGCAACGCACTCATCCCTTAATGTATGGTTCATAACAACAACAACAACATGTAGCAGCATCGCTTGCTGAACACGCTGAGACCAGGTGACAGTTGCGCGGCTGTCACCGCCTTCCTCTCACCCTGCAATATCGCTGACCCTCAAAAGAGGCAGCATCCCGAAACCACCATCCAGTCCAAAATGTGACAACAATGTACCATCAGACGCACACACACATACACACACAAACGCATACAGACAGACAAACACACTCACATGCATACCTCAAACTAAGACATACGCACACACGCACATACACACATACAACAGGAAAAGCATTTATTTCCTTGTATTATAAACGCAGT